CTTTATATATTATCTATTCCAGTCAAATGAGTTTACAAGCTGTTACCCATACCCAATATTTCATCACTTGTGTCCATGTGTCTTCCTAATGTGGAATATATTCTCTTCTCACCTAGTTTCCTTCAAAACTCAACCCAAATACCACCTCTGACATTCTAGATCTCCTGGATTTAGATTCTCCCATTGCTAGTATTCTCTCCCTTTTGAAATTACCTTGTATTTACATACATATATACTATAATCCTCTACATCTTAGCATGCATGTAAGGTTCCTTAGGACAAAACCCTTTTGCTTTTCCTTTGCATTAGGTGCTAATTATTTGTTAAACTAAATAATATGGCTTCTGTTTCTGCCTTCAATATCTGTACAAACACTCTACTCATCATATTTTATTCTTTTAATTCCTGGATTCCATCACATGAAAATATCTTAATTTACACTGATAATTCTGTCATTTACATTTTGTGTGCCTTCTGAAAAACAAATACTTCCAGAAATACATTCCAGTCATTTCTACTCTACCAAGTCTCAGTAATAGTTATGATAGCAGGTGTGGCTAGATGGCGCAGTGGATAAAGCTCTGGCCTTGGAGTCAGGAGAACCTCAGTTCAAATCCTATCTCAGATACATAACACTTACTAGCTGTGTGACCCTGGGCAAGTCACTTAACCCCAATTGCCTCACCAAAAAGCAAAAAAAAAACCACCCCAAAAACAAACAAACAAAAAAAACCCTTATGATAGCAAATTTACCTCCTTATATTAGAGAGCTTCTAGTTCACTCTCCTTACTACTCAAACTTGGTTCGCAGAGGCCATAGATGACTACAGTCTCTTGGATTTGTCTATTATGAATCTGGGACAGTTCCACTGTTATTCTCCCTTCTATAATATAGCTACTACTCTGCATAGTATCTAGCATAGTGGACATACATGGCCAGTTTTCACCTTCTTCTTTCCTTTTCAGAGTAAAACAATTTTTTGAGGTTAAGGAGAAAATAAATTTTTAGCAGAATCAGTATGTTTTCCCCGTGAGGTAGTGACAACCACTGTCTCAGATTGGTGTGGAGGGTGGACTGCAGCCAGCACTAATCTACTTGCTACAGTCCACTGTTAAACTTTCAGTGTGAGCATTTTCACATCAGAAATGAGCAATTACTACCAATCAGGGCTTGATTTATTGTTTCATTGATTTTCTAGACTTAAGAAAGTGTCAACAGTACATTTAAAAATGTGTGTCTACATTTTCCCCTCCCCCAACATTTACCAGCATACCCCTGTATTGCTCTAGAAACACTGTCTGAGCTCAGTAGGAGTGCAGTAGAATGCTCAGAGAATGAAGTCATCACCAGAGTAGAGGCCTGGTGACCGTAGGCTAAAAATAATAACTGGCGTTTATATACTGCTTTAAGGTTTGCAAAATGCTTTACATCCAATTACCTAATTTGAGCCCTCACAACTTCCCAGGGTGGAGAGCTGGTGAAGTTACGGTAAATACAAAAATGAAAATGCAGGGTAGAAAAAAAATGATTATTTGGAGGGTGTGGGGTATATTTTCCATTACAGTAAGTTAAACAGAAGAAGGGAGAGAAACAGGTTGCCAATATGTGATTGCTTTATACAAGTCATTTGCTATCTGCTTCAATTACCAGAAGGAGAGGATGGGGAAACATATTGTTATATTTTGAAGTACCAGCACACAGGTGACCAAATCTCGATGTAAAAGGGAATATTCCTTTACCCCCAGATTAGAAGAGGAGTAGTAAAGTAGGTAAAGAATGGGGAAGTAATAAGAAGTGTATTCCAGGTTTTCATCCTTCTCTTAAAGCTGATTCTTCCATCAGTTCTTTTTAACAAACACGCCTATCAACTCATACGTTTTTCCTTTTTTCATCAAACGCTAAACTGTTGTTTAATCAAACCTGATAAGCTTTTATATAGCTGCAGTTGGAAAAAGAGGAAAGCAAGACCAAAAAAGAAAACGGGGCTACATCAAAACTTGCTGGCAGGGGCTTTAAAGAAAGCCAGAGGCAAAAAAGCATTCCACCGTCCTCTAAGTAACTTCCATATCCCCAACGTAGGAGGCCCTGTAAACTTTCTGTTACATCATTTCAAAGGGGGCTGTTAAGTCAGTCAAATTTTGAAAAGGAAGTAGAGAATTATTCATTCCCAGCTAAACAGCATAAAACTAGAAAAGAAATAGATCATACTTTGGAGAGAGCTACATCATTCACACACCATCCAGACACATCTTATTTACTAAAATTTTGCTCAAAATTGATAGTTAATGTTACTAAGCTGGAGAAGAATTCTCCATATTTTGAACTGTAAAGTTCCAGATGCCTCAATAGCAGGGCATTAAGGGACCTAGGAAAGATTGCCTGCATATGTGGAGTATTTAAAGTAATAACCTCCACTCAATCATCACCCCAATATAAAGCTGAAATGTAAAACTGCTGGGATTCTACAAGTAACTTCCAATAATATCAGAAAGTTTCATAGACTATTACATATCCAATATACTCAAGCTACAAGTGTTGGTTCAACACAAAAGGACAATAAGGGCAGGCTTTTATATGTTACAAAGCCTATAAAATTAGAACATTATGATTTTACGGCATCATAAAAATCAGTGCACTTTTCTTGTCCAGAAAAAAGGATACTTTCATTTCTAAAAATATCTTAAATCTTCACAAGAAAGTCACAATGCAATAAAATACCCTATTATCATAAAAAGCAAGTACAGGATGGTATTCCATGAGCAAAACAACAGAAATCTGGCATTGTTTGAGCCAAGGAAAAAAATTATTCTGGAAAGGAAGGATAAGTAGAAGTCTTTCTCTAAATTTAATTAAAACGGTGAGCTTTCTGCATTGTCTTATTTCTTTGATAGTCTCACTTTTAGTACAAAATAGACATATCCTTGAGAAGAGATTTTTCAGTTTGAAAAACTGTTCTCTGTATTGATTTTCTTTCAAGAGAAAATCATTAATTTTCAAAATGAATATCTGAGGACCAGAACTTCACACTCAAGGATAGATGGCACAGTGGGTTTGATTTTTCACTGTGTTCTTATATTCAGCTTAATCCAATTTTCAAAAAGGCCTAAGAAAAAGACGAAGTCAAGACAACTGAACTTAACTACAACATGTAACACTATGACCAAAAGGTGCAGGACTTTGCCTGTAATGAATTGGAGGCACTCAGGAAACAGAAGTCGATTCTATAAGAGTCTTGAGAAGCCTAGACAACAGGCACAACAAATCAAACAAAACTTATAGTTAAATATAAATGAATGAGTAAATAAATAATACGAACATCTTAGAAACTTAAATTATCATCAAATCTAAGTTATCTCCGATAATGAAAACGGATAATGAACTCAACTTCTGAATACAGATTTACAAGCACTGAAAATTCTCTACGTAAATGAAAATAGTTAACAGTTATATAGGAAAGTCTGTATTACTCATAGTATCTTTCATTCCCAAATCTGTCTATATTCAACATACTGCACTCTTTCCAAGTAAAATACACATAGCAATTATATAGTATTTCAAAGCCTCTGAATAATTTAGGACTATGAAAATGACTATCCAGTAGAAATTATAGGGATAATTTAGACAGGCAATGTAATTTGGTTGGGATTTTGGTTACACACACACTTACCCACACACACACACAACACACAGACACACACACTCTCTCTCCTTTACTGTTACTTTCAGAGATCCTATTTTAATCCACTAAGATTAATGAGTAAAATGTCATATAAAATAAAAACCAACAGGCCAATTAACACCATGGAACACATATTAAGTAATTTTAATTAGGTTAATTAAAAAATTAATTAACTGCCTTAATCTAAAAGAAAAAAAAACAACTTACCTTTCTCAAGTATGACATATTCTAACTATTCCTTTGCCATTTTTAAAGATTTTATTCCATAGCTGTTTTACCATATCTTATCTCCAAATACCATCCACTGAACCCTTCCTTGTAACAAAAATATTAAAGCAAAATCAACTGACATATTTGATAATTTTCCCAAACTATATATTTTTTCTCTTTAATTATTTTTTTTTAAATTTTACAAAGATGAAAGTGAAGAACCATGGAATCAAACTGAATGTTGGTCTTGGAATGAGGAAGACTTCAATTCAGATTCTGCCTCTAGCAAACCTTAAATAAGACATTTAACCTCTATGTGCCTGAGACCACACCTAGAAGTTTTCTATTAAATCAGAAGCAGTCTGCCACCCTACAGCAAGTTGCCATATGAGGAATTCCACAAACCTACAGATAAAGAAGGAAAGAATGTAAAGAAGATTTGATTATTTGTGAATAAAAGGAAAGAACTATATGAGTTAAACCCAGACCTTTGAAATGCAATATGCATCCATGCATACAAATCATACCTTATAATTAAGATAACTGCTGCTACCAAATGTTGTTTTAAGTTTGTAATGAAAGTTTCCTAGACATTTGATGGTATGTTATTTAGAAAATGAGAGTTCTACAATTTAAAGAATGAGAGGAACTGAAAATTAGGTCAGTGAAAAGTATGACTGAGGGGACAAGGGGCAGACTGAGTTCTTGTTAAGGCATTACAACTTCTACTGATTACAGAATTGAACTGAAAATACTGATGTCACCACACAAACCTTTATTGAGTTGGCAATGAACAAAGTATGATATTAAAAACCAGTATCACTATCAACATTCCTAAATAACATAGTTACACCAATTCTTGTACTTGTGCGGATGAAACTCTTTTGCTAAACAGGTGTGTTTAGTTCAGCAGTTCTACAGCTCAAACTATTCTAATAATTTTGGAGATTCAGTAAAAGCCATGGAAAAGCAAAAAGCTTAAATATTTTCCTTAGCCAAGCTGATCTATGCAGTATTTCAGGTAGGTCACTAGAAACTTCTTTGAAGTTTTCAAATTAGTAATAATATAAGTGGAAAAACCAAAATTGTATAATCAACACACATCATTACCTTCATGGCATGAATTTCCTCGAGTAATCGCTGTGTTCGTCTTTGATTTTTGGATAATATATCTTCAGTACCTCTGTAGAAAACACATCATTATGTATGTAACAAAATAAGCCATTCACAGCATATATACATATTTACTAAAGTATGGGAAATTCTTTTAAAAGTACAATAAATCTCAAACACTAATGGAAAGACATAAATGAGGAATGATTAATTGTTGGGATGATTACTGAAGAAATAAAGAACATCTAAATACTGTAATTCATATAACCACCAGCAGAGGGCCTACTTTCTCTGTTTCCATGTCCTCTTGGTTTTTTAATCTAAGTATCCCTACTGAATTTTCTCACAAAGATATGGGCATTAAAAACAATAACAACAACAAAACAAAGCTATTTTTCTATTTCTATTCTGCAAATATTTTTAATAAACTTCCTTATTTGGTAAATAACAATTTATACATGACTGCATAAGTCTCCTATTTTTTGCTGAGAATTTTTCCTTTTATATTTCTGAAATACTTCTACTTGTCAAGCTATAATAAAATTCATAATTAAAAATAAGCATACTGATGTGCTTCTCTGAACTGAAAGTACTAAATATTGTAAAAAAGACCAATAAGCAGTATTAAGCTTAAGTGTCACCTCTAACATTTGCACAGGATCATAGGCAAATCAATTAACCTCTCAAAGACTCAGTTTCTTCATAGATAAAATGGGTATAACATTTGTACACCTGCACCTCTTAAGGCTGTTGTAAATAAAGGGCTCTGATACACCTTAAAAACTACAGAAACATGAAACATCATTAGGACACACTTCTTATGGGAGAAAAGCTGCATAAATATTCAAGGAAGGAACAGAGATACAATATAGGGGGAAAAAAGCAAGTCTAATGTGGGAAGGTATTATGAAAACAAAGAACAGAGTTTAAGAGAGAAGAAAGCACTGTGAATATAATTCTTTCAAAAACTAGTGACAATGATAACATGGTACAACTTTTTGGCAATAAAATAAAAAAACCCAGCAGATCCTGAGATCTTGTGCAAATTCTTTAAAAAACTGTAATATGTAAATGTACAGGATTATTATTAAATGTTTTAAATTTCAAATTAATCTGCAGTTTCAGTAAAAAATAAAACTACTGTTGATCTTCAATATTCATGCCTTTAACTCTCAAGACTTCAAGTATCCCCATGATTTTATTAGTAACCTCATTTTCACTTTCGCTGGGCAAACCCATCACATTCTTGGCTATCTGGAGTAGAGGCAGAATATCTAAGTATGATGTGGAGACCTCAGTCTCTGAGCAAATGGGGAAGTTGCTAGGTGCTGCTCCTCCCAGCTCAGCCTGAAGCCAAACTCTTCAGTACTCAGAAGGAACAAGGAGAGGAAGAACAGGGCTATATAGCCTGGGGTGCTGAGCTAGGAAGGGGAAGGCACTCTCCCTGAAAGGATCTTGGTAAACAATGGCTCCACTCCCAGTACTGCTGAAGCCCTTAAAGGGGTTGGAGATAGGGAACTGACCATGCTGGGATTCTGGCCAACTAGGTTGAGCGACTAAAATCCTAGCAACCTCAATCTTGGTTTTCAGAGGGCAGCTATGGTAGAGAGGTTTACAGCAGTACAGTATATAGTACAACACCCTCACACTTCCATCTAAACAGTGGAAGGTAAGATTCAGGTTAAAAAATGATTTAAATTTAAGAATTTTATTTGCTGCACAGTATTTATGGTACTATAGATTTCACGTGTTATGAAAAGTGAGTATTGTCTGAAATCAATTTTTTAAGATTGAGATGTCAGCACAAAACGTCACAGAATTCTAGGGAATTACTAGTGAGAAAAATGTTTCGCATGTTACTAATTTTATTTTGTGTCCTGCATTTTATGAGTTATTTCATGGTTACTGTGTTGGGAAAAGTGCATATTATCAGAACTAATGTTTTGTTACAAAGAATTTTATGCAGAAATGTGTATTTTCAGCAAGCTCTAGAAAAAGATTACAGTTTTTGGTAGGTGTGGGAAGCTAGCCTTCTACTTCCCATAGGTTCAATGAATCAACATTTGTGTTTTTCACTTTCAGGGCCCTTTTCTAGAAATGTTACCTGATGATACTTGAGGATTGACTATATAAGGAGCGGGGAACCTGCAAGCTCAAGGCCACATGTGGCCCTCTAAATGAATCCAAACTTCACAGAATATTCAGTCAAAGGGCCACACTTGAGGACCTAGAGGGCCACATGTGGCTTTGAGCCTACAGGTTCCCCACCCCTGGACTATATTATTCAAAGGAAACAACTAATGCAGGGTACCTGAACTTTAAAACTATGAAACTTTAAAACTTTTAAAATATCACATTCAGTTGGCATAAAAGGAAATTTTTTGCTCAAGAATACCAAATTACTGATAACTAGCCAAGAAAAAAAAAGTTTCTAGTTCTGTTCCACAGGGAATATAATACTTGTGGTCACTTAAAGGAAAACTGTGGAAAACTTTGACTAGAAGAATTCACAAAGAAATTACTGATTTTGGTCCCAAACTCAAGAGAACAGGTTAATGAAACTCAATTAGGGCAATAATTATGTTCCCTATAGAAGTTAGCTGATAAAATTCTTATTGAGGGCCTACCTCCTAACAGAATGAACAATGGATAAAAATAACTCTTGATTTGTGACAAAGCAGTACACGATTATTAATAAAAATGACTAACTTTTTTGACTTCAGTTTGGTGATACGCCTGGTAAGCCTGCGAATAACCAAAACTCGAGTCCTCTTCACTTCTTTTCTCATCTTCACCACCTTTAGGAATGAAACCAAAATGGAAGACCCTTAATTCAAGTACAAAAACACACTCATTTTAAGGCTAAGTAAAATATGTAGTGTAACACATAAAAAAATACTTGAATGAATAGGATGATAAAATCAAGTTATTTTCATAAACATCAGTACAGTATGAAACCAACAGTCTAAAAATGTGTCTGAGGTCTGAGAAACAAACAAGCTGCAAAAAAGTAAAACACTCCAAGCTAGTAATATTTCTAGATTATTCTTAAAGACAGGTTACTTTAGAATCTTTGAAATGTTTTTTCCCTTTATTTATTACCCTAAACACAGTGAAATTACATGTGATTTTCTTTTAACAAAAACAAACTAAAACAAAACAAAAACCTCTTTAATTAGATGACTGAGGATAAAATAGTGTAATACTTGTAAAGTGTGTTTCAAACTTTAAAGTGTTATATAAATACTATTATTACTTTCTTCTATGATAAAACATCTCTAATGTGTTACCAAGTAAGAATACCCTCTGCCTTTGCTCCCCCAAATCAAAGAATCACAGAATTTCGGTGTTGGATAGGACCTCAGAGACCATCTACAAAACCTGATACCCAAATAAAAATCTTGCCTACAACACACTTCACAAGTATCTAGGAATAAGAGAATGAGGCCTTGCACCAGGATAGAAACGGGGGGGGGGGCACGGAGGAGAGGGGATTGTGAGAGATGATAAAAGGCCTTGGCAACAGATTTTCCACAGGGAGTAAGACAGAGTGAAGAGTAGGATAGCACCCAGGTTTCATGCCTGAGTGAATGGAGGGATGGTGGTGCCCATGAAATTAAGAGATAGCTGAAAGGGAAGGAGGGCTTGAGAGGAAGATACACAAAGTTTACTTTGTATATACTGAGTATAAAACGTCTATGAGATATCTATTTTGAGATGTCCAATAAGCAATTGGAGATGAGAGATTCTGGAGGTCAACAGAAAGGTCAGGGTCAGACAAGATTTGAAAATCATTAGTACAGAGTAACAGCCACGTTGTGTGATGACTAACTGATAGACTTAGCTCTTCTCAGCAATGCAAGACATCTCCAAAAGTCTCATGATGGAAAATGCTATCCACATCCAGAAAAAGAACTAGGGAGTCTCAACGCAGATGGAAGCACATTATTTGTTCTTTGTTTTTCTTCCATTTGTTTTGTTTCTTCTTTCTCATGGTTTCTCCCATTGGTTCTAATTCTTCTTTACAACATGACTAATGTGAAAATATGTTTAATAGGAATGTGTATGTAGAGCCTATATCAGACTGCACGCTGTCTTGGAGAGGAAGATGAGGAGGAAGGGGGATAAAATTTAAAACTCAAAAGCTTTTAGTTAAAAACTAAAAATAAATTAATTTTAAAAAAGCACAGAAAATCACTAGTACAGATGAGATCATCAAGTAACATGGTATAGAAGGAGAAGTGAAGAGGCCCAAGTGGAAAACAAGGGGAGCGTAGTGTCCCAAAAACTGGAAGACAAGAGAGAAGAGAGGAAGAAGAGAGGGTGGCTGACAAGTATCAATGGGGCAGCTAGGTGGCCCAGTAGATAGAGTGCTGGGCCTGAAGTCAGGAAGACATGAGTTTAAATCCAGCCTCAGACACTTTGATAGGGTGTGTTACCCTAGGCAAGTCACCTTACCTTTTTTTGCCTCAGTTTCCTCATCTGTAAAGTGGGGATAATAATAGACCTACCTTTCAGAATTGCTGTGAGGATTAAATGAGATAATAATTATAAATGCTTCTTAGCACAGTGTCCAGCACAGAGTAAGTGCTATAGAAATGCTAGCTGTTATAATTATTGTTATTATTAAAGGCTGCAGAGAGGTCAAGAAGGATGGGGATTGAGAAAAAGCCATTAGATTTAGCAATTAAGAGGTTAGTAACTTTGAAAAAAGCAGTGGTTGAATGATGAGGTCAGAAGCCTGACTGTTCAGTGTTAAAAAAAAGAGTTAAAAGGTGAGGAAGTAGAGGCACCTATTGTGGACAATCTTCTTAAGGAGCTTAGCCACAAAAGGCAGGAGTGATATGGGATATTAGCCAACTTGGATGGATGGATCATGTGAAAGTTTTTTGAAGACACAAATGTAGGTATATTTGTAGGCAATAGGAACATAGAGAGTAGAGAGGGAGGGAGAGAACAGGGATGACAAAAGGGGCAATCTGCTGGAAAACATGAGATAGAATGGGAACATTTGTGCCTGTAGGGGGATTTGCCTTGGCAAGAAGAAGGGCTACCTCTTCATGTGAGATGGGGAGAGGAAGAGATAGTGGTAGAAGGCTTCTGGGTGATGTGAGATGAGGAGGAGGGAAGAAGAGAGACCTCTCAGTGAAGAACCTCAATTTTTTCAGTAAAACATGAGGAAAGGTTCTCCGTAGGGAAGGTGGGAGAGAGGGGAGCCATGGGAGATTTGAGGCAGGATGAAAAAATGTGGAAATGCTGATGTGGAGAATGGCATAGTGAGTTGATTAGGGAGGTGCAAACTGATTGCCCTGGAGCTGTGAGAGCAAACTTAAGGTTATATAAAATAAATCTGTACTGGATTGAGCGTCAGCATGTGTCAAAATATAAGTAACCTCAGTTACATCAAATTGACTATTGTACTAATAAAACCAATGCAACTAGGACGAGGGAATCTCTTAACTAGGGAAAAAACAATCTTTGTATCAATTTCTGAAAAAGGTCTGATATCCAAGAACCAAACTGAGTTAAATAAGGCCAAAAGTAATTCCCCCAATTCCTAACTGACAAAAAGCTACTGCCAACCATATGAAAGACTGTTCCAAATTATGAATAACAAGAATAATACACATCCAAACCATCCCAAGATTCTAATTTATAATCATAAAATTGGCAAAGAAGTTAAAAGTTGAGAATAGTTAATTGTGGAAGGCCAGTGGAAAGATAGGCACACTGAAGCACTACTGGTGGAACTATGAAGTGGTCTTAACATTCCGAATATTTGAAACTGTGCTAACAAAATGACTAAAATATTGACAGCCTGTGGCAGGTGAAAGATTAAATTACTGAGGAAACAAAAGTTCAATCTTCTGAGCATTTTTATTTCTTAAGCAATGCATCTCACTTGTCTAACACACTGGGACCAGGCCACATTGATTAGTGACAAGGACATGATCCTAGAGATGGGCTGAACACTTCCATAATGTTCTCAACAGACCATCATCAATCAATGTTGAGGCCACTGACCATTTACCTCAGGTTGAAGTCAATCCCTCCCTAGCTGAAGTTCCAACTGAAGAAGAGGTTTCGAATGCCATTAGGCTCCTTTCATGTGGTAAAGCACCTGGTGCTGACTCTATTCCAGCTGAGATTTACAAGGCAGGGGGTCCATACAAAAGGTCATACAAAAGCTGACTGAAATTTTCCAGATTATATGAGAAGAGGAGGTTATCCCCTAGGAGTTCAAGGATGCCTCCACTGTCCCATCTCTATAAAGGTAAAGGAAACAGACTGTCCTGTGACAATCACAGGAGGGTCTCTCTCTTAGTCACTGCTGGCAAGATTCTTGCCAGAGTCCTCCTTAAAATGAAGATGGTCATCTATTTGAATGTGGCTTCAGAAAGGGCCGAGGAATGGTTGATATGGTGCTTGCTGCCCGACAACTCCAGGAGAAATGCCAGGAGCAGAACAGAGGTCTGTACAGAACTCTTGTAGATTAGACCAAGGCTTTTGATACTGTCAATCATGAGGGCTTATGGAAAATTATGTCAAAATTTGGTTGCCTGGAGAAGTTCATCAGCATTGTACATCAATTTCATGATGGCAGGCTTGCTTGGGTTCTAGATAATGGACAATGCTCTCGTGCTTTTCTAGTCAGCAATGTAGTGAAGCAAGGCTGTATGCTTGCTCCCATGCTTTTTAGCATTTTTCAGTCATGTTGTCAAATGTTTTCAATGAGGTTGACCATGGCATCAAGGTTAGCAGCTACACTGACAGTTAAATTCTTCAACTTGAAAAGGCTACGAGCGAAGACCAAAGTAGAGAGTGTTGGTGCATGATTTTCTGTTTGCAGACGATTGTGTACTCAATGCAGCCTCTGAAGCTGAGATGCAACAAAGTATGGATTGATTCTCTGCTGCTTGTGCTAATTTTGGCCTAATAATTAACACCAAGAAAACATAAGTGCTCCATCAGCCACCACCAAACCAACTATACTTGGAACCATCGGTTACAGCAAATAGAGAAGTTTGAATGCTGAGGATAAGTTACACTTCCCTTGTTAGTGTCCTTTCCAGGGATGTACACATTGATAATAAGGTTGACGCATGCATTGCCAGAGCTAGCTCAGTGTTTGGAAGGCTCCAAAGGAAAGTATGGGAGAGAAGAGGTATTAGACTGACTACCAAACTGAAAGTCTACCCAGCCATTGTGCTGACCTCATTGCTGTATGCCTGTGAAGCCTGGACATATACCAGGCCATACCAGGAAACTGAACCACTTCCATTTCAATTATCTTAGGAAAATTCTGAAGATCATCTGGCAGGATAAGATACTAGACACTGAGGTACTTTCTTGAACTAAACTGCCAAGCATTAAAACTCTGCTTCAGAGAGCACAACTCTGATGGGCTGGCCATATTGTTCGAATGCAAAACATGCACTTGCCAAAAAGACCATTTTATGGAGAACTCATGGAGAGCAAGTGTTCCCGTGATGGTCAGAAGAAGCAATACAAGGACACTCTCAAGATCTCTCTTAAGAACTTTGGAACTGATTGTGTGACAGGGGAGACACTGGCACACGACCGCTCATCATGTTGTGCCCACATCAGAAAAGGTGCTCTGCTCTATGAGCAAAGCAGAATTGAAATAGCTCAAGAGAAAGGCAAGATGTGTAAACTTAGAGACTCCACCCCAAATATTCATATGGACTCTTTGTGCCCGATTTGTCATAGAAGATTCTGAGCTCTTATTGGTCTGATCAGCCACAGTTATTAAAACTTGATTCTAGCATAGTGATGT